CACGGCCCTCCTTCACATCAAGTGTTGGCGACGAACTGGGTCGCGTAAACAAGGACTACGCAGCCCAGCTGGTCGACCTCCAGACCCTGGACGCTCTCCTTCAGGGCATCAAACTGGAACGGGGAGTACAAACAAACCCACCCCTGGTGCGGGAGGACCGTCTCTTCTACCTGTCCGATCGTCTCGGTCAGTTCAAGATGTTGGCAATGCTGCGACCTGGTCGTCTGCCCAAAATAGAGGTTATTCCGCCACCCTCCCAGAAGGCTCACCTTCATCCTCGCCACGTGCTTTGCTACCGGAAGCTGTGCAGTGAACCCATCACCACCAGCACCACCACCACGAGACCGGAGATGGTTAGACAGATTGTGAATTCTACCTCAGAATGTATACTGCACCTGGCGCAAGCAAAACAAGATACTCGACGTCTGTACACCCAAGTTGTCATATTTCGCGCTGTATTTGCCTTGGCAGCTTTCCTCTGCTTGTTATTTGCCATTGCGGCCTTGATACTATGCTTCCGATTACGTACAGTGAACCGACACTCTAGGAAGGTGTCCCGTATGGATCCAAACCGTGCTTACCCCACGGGACAGCCCTCTCCAGCCTTTTATAACATGAATGGAAAGCTGGCCTTCCAAACACACTCACCTCTGGTTTTCGCCGAACCCGGCGGTGGCTCAATTAACGTTGCTCATATGCCCAGCGACACTGCCAGTCTGCACAACACTGCACAGTCGAGTAATCTCAGTGGTTGTGAGCTGCTGACTCCTGTTAGCCCCAATGGTAACGCCTTTCCCGCCTACGCCTACGCACAGGACGGCTCAGGAGTGGTAAAACTGGTACAGGTGCCCGGCCACCGAACTTCTGTGAATGGTATGCAGGGCATGTACCTCAACAGAGCAGTCAGTCCGGCTTCGTCCAGTCAACTAGAGATGCGCGTTGCCGATGGGTACAGGGCGGGATCTCTGGACAGACGTAGTGATGCTAACTCAGACACGATGCAGCGTCGCAGAACGCCGATCCAGGTAATACCCTACACATCTGGCGTCGAGAATAGCTTTGGCAATCTGCAACCTCTCGGTTAC